AAAGAACGCTGGCGTAACTTCTAGAATAAATATGCATATTCATGGCTTATACCGTCATTATCACTCATTTTTACGACCATGGCCTCGCAGCATATCCTCCCTGAAAACCACAAGAGCCCTTCTGCGTTGCATTACGGCAACATAATAGTGGCCACTTGTGATACGTTACACGGAGTGTGTTGTAATTCGTTTTCTTTTTCCTCTTTTTTTTACTCCCGTATTCGTCTTCACGTGTCCGGGGTAGCAAACTTGACGTAGTCTCGTTAACTTCCCCGTTCTTCCTGCATTGCTTTTTTTTTTCTTTGTCTCTTCATGGCTCCCTGTTTCGAAAGACAACCTACTATGCGGAGTGGAAAAACTAAGATCATTATAAAATGTCTAATATATCCATCTCGGCCCTTTTAGGCCAGCTCGAGTCTTTAGTCTGCGTAGAGCATCGGTATAGTTCGTTCGTAGCTTGTTGATTGATTCATATGAGGTTTACCATCCCAAAACCACCTTATGATTATGAAAGGCCGTAGTGGGGGGGGCTCCAGAAATTTCGACCACTGGAATTACTTCAACATACACCCAAATCTGAGCCCACTGGCTTCCAGCATTTTCGCCTCCATCGTAAATGCCGCAGCCGGGATTTGATACCGCGACCTGCAGCCGTGTGAGTTAGCCTCTGGACCACCGCGGCGGAGCTCGTAGCTTGTTTGAAGGAACTGAAGTTGCTGCGCACTAGCACCTTGCCACGGGGTATACTTTTCGCATCCATCGCGCATTGTTAAAGCTTGCAAAAAAAAAAAACACCCCCGCTGCTTTTTGTTGTCATAAAAAAGTAATCCTTTCTCTACCTTTCATATTAAAGCTATTTTCTTTTCAAAAATTCACTTAAAAGATGGCTGTTAGTTGCACGATACAGCAAAACATTTCATTCCAGTGCCGGATTTGAGCTGCGTTGAATACACAGCACTAGTAATCTTGCGTACATTGTTAAACGATTGCAAAATGAAAACACTCGCAGTCTTTGTAAGGAAAAAGAAGCCATTTGGATACTAATCATTAGAGCCCCCACCCATGCCATGGGAATTCGCGCAATTTTGTCTGGGGGTGCGTGTTTTGTTTGGTGTGTGCGTGTGTGTCCGTGTTTTTCCCTTATTTATTTTTTAACTCTCCCTTTCTCTTTCATCCCCCTATTCCTCAACCCCAGTGTAGGGTAGCATACCGGGTACTAGCATCTGGTTAACCTCCCTGCCTTACTTTTTTCTCGTTTCTCTCTCTCTCTCTTGTCTGAGGGGTGTGCAACATCGTGTTGCATCTTGGAGGTTAGAGGGGGTGCACTAGTTTGGCTTTTGGCGGAGGGGGGGCATGCTCACTTAGCTTGCGGGGGAGCAAGCGCCCCTTTGGCTCCCACCCCCCTGGCGACGCCCTTGTTTTCACCTTCTATATTGAATTTATCACTTTTAGAGAATCTACCTGACAGTTCGCTAATCAACCATTTAGCTGTTTTTGATTGTATGAGTACAATTAAAGTACTTTGATTTGTCCAAGAGGACACCAAACAATACTAATTGACTTGCCCGTTAAAGCTTGTTTCAATGTAGCTGGAATACCGTGTATATTCAGTGCACATTCATTGATGCTCTTCGCCAACAGGCACCTAATCGCTCTACAATAAATACTTTCAGTGATCATAATTAAATGAACGACTTGGTTTCCTGTCTATTTTGTGCCAGAAACAAGCAGTTGAAGTAAAAAAAAATTGCCTCCACATTTGGAAGTAAAATCGAGCTTTTGAAATGCTGTGTTATGGAGCGTGGTTCCCTTTCTCTTTTAAATCTACTCTATATTTACATGTTGTGCATTTCAGCATAAAGTTATTCGGTCTTATTCAGCTACAGCTGCCGTGTGTGTGATATTAACCACACGTGGATCCTCGAAAGAAAAGCAGGCTGCTCAAATTATATACCAAGAGAGCAACCACTTTTGTACAGGAAAACTGTTGAATATCTTCAGCGTGGAATGACTTCTCTGTGAAAAAGAGCACACATATTGCATAAGGACTCCATTACTTCCATTGCATTTATTTCATAACAGAAGGTGGCCAATGTATACTAAAAATAGCAGTCGCGACTTTGTACGTGCCTCCGACAAAGTAAAAAAAATGCATATACTTGTCCAAGACTCATCGCTAGCCACGAGCATATATACTTCTTACAACAACCCAAAGTTGTCATGGTCTATGTAAACAAAATACGTAGCAAATATAGCACGTAAGATTTTTGTGTGTGATACTTCTGTTGTGCACAAGCAATGTTTGAATTTTAACCCCACTCTTTTCTAAGCTATGTTTATTTGTTGTTGTTTTTTCGTAGACAAACCCAGGAGTTCATACAAGGTTATAGTACCAACAAAGCTAGCACGAAATGATCGTCAATAAACTGCAATAAATACCCACAGCTGGCAGTTTCTACTAAGCCCACGAAAGTTCACGCTCTCCCGATCTTCCAGTAATAGCTACACTTCAAATGCATTCTGACTGGTAGTTTTGAATAGCTTTATCCTCCCTCCCCCAAAATTTTATAACCGAAATAATAAGGTACTCAAGTTGTCACATTTCAACACGCACGAGAAACAATGTCGGAAAGTTTATTTTGTGATTTCAAACCTTGTACTAACCAAAAATGCCTGCCTAAATGATTCAATCGAATATGAAAACTGCTATGTACGTTCTAAAACTACCTGCAATTACTAAGCATCGCACCCCTTCCAAAGACCCCTGCTAAAAGCAGTGGCCGTTAAATGGCACGCACAATATATGGATGACCTCCTAACATTAGTCTTGCAGTACGCCTTATAGCACCGGCAGTGATATCCCAATGTCCCATATAGCACGCTGCTGCGCTGGAGAATGCGGGTTCGATTTTCAGCCGTGGTCGTTACTTTTCGATGGAGGCGAAGTGCACGCAAGACCAACAGTTTCCGATTTAGGTTTAAGTTTGTTTGGAAACTCTGCTGGTGAAAATTGGCCCGGGCTCTCTGACTACCACATGCCTCGGTACAATATTGCGTATTTTGCTTTAAAAATCTAATGATCAAGTCTGACAACTACTAGCATTTAACGAAAGCGAAGTCTGAAGAAACCGGAAACTGCAAGGACAGGACTTCTATGACATCTGATTGGTAACCGATAAATTAACTGAAGGGAAGGAAACAGAAGCCAGAATGCAGTGACACCAATCGGGGAAAAATGTACACGTGGGCTGGTGAAAGCGTAAAAATAGAAAAGCGGAATATAAAGTCGAGCAACAGGGGAAGGAAGAAAAGAGATGAAGCGTGTGGGATCGCACATATGCATTCGAGCAAGCCCTTCATCTTCAAGAAGCACTTCACGGCGCTGTGGGCCGATGAGCGATGGGTTCAGCGTTTCAGCAGTATCTACGTAGAGTGGTCAATCGTCCAGTCGTCGCACCAAGTTTTTTTCTTAGTTTTAGAGCGCGTAATGCAGTAATATCATCCGACCGAAATTCTTATCACAGCTACCAGTTCAACAAGTAAAGTAAAATAAGCGGAAAGGTAATCGGAGCGAATGAAAAAGCTTAAATATTCCTGTATTAAAGGGCATTACGTGTTATGATCACTCTTTTTCTTGTAGCCATACAATGCACGGTAAATGTATACTATAGTTTAAAATAAAATACACAAGCGAGCAAACAAATTGAAGCAGTACAAACCAAATATTCACCGGATCTATAACGCAAACAAGCAACCCCTCTAAACATAAGTTGGGTTGCCAAATGCAATGAAATTGCATCAGCTTCGCATAAAAGTACTTCCAATACTAGTTAGTTGCATGTGACATTGATCTCGGGGAATTGCATGATGAAGTTAAATTCACCGGTGTTACGCAGCAAAACATCGAAGATGCCCTTTGTAGCACGTGTGACATTTACTTTTTGATCTGCGGTTCGTTATAGTGAGCCGTATCTCGTTATTTCATACGGCCTCCCCAGTCATGATCCAACACCCGAATGAAAGCTCTGCTGGAGAACTGCAATTGTCACACTACTACCGCGAGAGGCAAAGGCATGCTGTTCATTATAAAACATTGGATGGTATCCGTCCGGTTTCTGTACGTTCCCCGCGAAAGACGCATGCTCCTCAGCGAGATTTCAGCTACTCAGCGAGCTTGTGCCGACCTTGCTCTCAAGGAAAAATTGCCACCGACAAAGTTCTTACCGTTTCCTCGTCTCTACGTGGTGCGGGATCCCAAGCGACGTGGCTCGTTGACGTCATTTAAGTGAATTAAATCCTTGGAACTCGCCAAGTGGCTCCGGCGGCATGTCGGTGAACTTTTTTTTTCCCATGGCCGCGTGCGCTGCTAATTTTGTCCAACCACTTCTCTCTTTATTCGTACTTTGTCTCTCGGATTGCAGTGGTGAGCACGCGTTTTAGGCTTTACTTATGAAGGCCCGCGTAGCACGCGCAACAAGGACTTTCGCAATCTCTCATTTCCCTCCGCGGTTATGAGGTGGCTACGTTCGGGCAGCGTTGTAAGATATGGCTTGTTTGTTTTCACTTTTCTACATAAGTGCTGAAAAATAGGTAGCTGCTTTCCTTCTGCTGACCTCGCTGTTTTATCGCGTATAGGGTTACAATAACAAAAGTTCATATCTTGTATCCCCCTTAATTCAGATATTAGGCCGCTTGACGAAACATGTCTTCGCGTTTCCAATTCGGCATTTTTAAGGATATGAATCGGCGCTCACACTATCCGTACAGTAAGCCCATCTGCACCGTATGCGTTTCACGCATTAAATGACACAAATTGAATGCATCTACAGCGCATATAATCGTAGTCTTCAAAAGGAACCATAAACGTACAATTCTTCTTGAATTGGTCAATGTCAAATCGTACAACCACGCTTTTACCTTACCACGTAACATTTTGTGAACCGTTGCCTTTCGTTTTCCCACCTCCTATACACATACATCTTTCTCTTCAACCATTGCAGAGCTATGCTACCCGGATGAGCTGCAGCGCGTGATGGAGGACGACGACTACTGTCGCAACATCGTGTGTCAAATGCGCCTAAACATGCCGAGTGCGCACAAGTTCGTCGCTGAAATGCTGACCTGGAGACGTGCCATGGGGCTTAAAGGTGAGCCTGCGTGCGCAGACCAGAGCACATTTAGCGGAACACAATAGAACCTCACTTCAAACTTAATTTGTAAACTTACAGTTTCATTCCTTGCAAGCTGGGCAATTGGATAACTGTCTTGATGTTCAACCAACAACTCGGCACACGTGGTTGCAGAACAAAAGCAAAACATACCAGGAACTACTTTCGTTTTTGCTTTTTGAATACGACCTATCGATAGAGCGGATGACACCACAAATACATCTTAAAGCACGCCGTAGGACACCACAGCCAACAAGGAGGAGGAGGAGGAAAGTTTAAGCGGAAGGACAATGAGGTTAGCCAGTTCTTAGACTGGCTGGCTACCCTGTGCTGGGGAAAGGGGTGAGGGGAATGAAAGATGATAGAAGAAATGTTGCTAAGAGCGAGAGAGAGAAACTAAAAAAAAATAGCGACAGAGGAAAGACAACATCAGAGTATAGAAAAACGAGAAAAAAAGGAACCAGGGAGGTTAACCATCAAAGAGTATAACACTAAAGTCTGTCTCTGAAGCCAGTTGTCCGGAAAAAGCGCAGCAAAGCTTTCAGTCTTCTGGGCTGGATAGACTGGATGGTCGGCCTTTGTCGGAACAAAAAATTCTGGGTCATTGGCCGAGCCCATCTTCAGCACAGCCAACAAGAATATGCAGGGGTCCTATAATCCTGAAGGCGCACAAAGCCATAGGACATACAGAGAATTAGGAGGATCAAGTCTTGATGATGGCAGTCATTATTTTACACTTTCTCAATTATGAAACTGATTTCGAGTACAAACTTTATTTTTTTTTCATACTTTAAGCCTCTGGCTCGGTTCTTATCACATGCAGTGTTTTTGGTATATCAAATCTGAGCGCATAGGTGCACGTCCAGACTTTAAGAAATTTCGAGCCTTAAGGAATGTTATAGTGACTTTTGATGAGATTTTGAAATCAAACATGAATATTATACCATGGACTCTTCGATTTGTATTTCAAGACACGTGCGCCTTCAGTTTTTAATCACTTTTACCTAACAGCGAGCTCCTCTCCAACCTAAATTCAAGCATGCAAAGCTAAAACGACCTGTGAAGCCATTTTTGTTAACCATCAATTACAAAAAGAATAAAATAACACATTGCTTACGGACTGATTCAAGCATATTTTACTTATAGGCTTCCAGGTCTCAAAAAAAAAAAAACGTGATCTTGGAAAGGCAACGCCAAGATTAATTTCATTTTGAAAGTTCAAGAAAGTGGTGCAAGTTCATAGTGTTATACGAAAAGAACGGTAAAGACGACCTAATTTGATATTAGAAGCAAACAAAATTGACGTTTTATACGCAGTCTCCGGTACGTCACTAATTTCAGTACATTTACAATACTAAGGACATAGACCTCTACATAACTTGTACACTCGCACATGTAGCCTTCTTAGCTGTTTTGGAAGCGCTTATAAGGGTTTTGACATAATAATTGACTGAGCTATTGAAATGAACATGCCGCTCCAATATTTCGTTCATCAAGACTATAAGTAATAGAACTAAGCTGTTAATATAAATGACCTCTGCTCCAGGCACTGTAGAGTGAGATTTTCTACGCAAGCTATTTAGTCACGTCAGTTCAGCGATTGCCCAAGCACACTTGTGTTGCATATGGATCTGCACAGGCGAACCAAAGTTAGTTCATACATCGAACTCCCATTTACCTGTGTTGACCTCCGCCACCTCATGGACTTTTCACGTCAGGCTGGCACCAATATGTCATTCAATGTGTACCTTGCTATTGGTAATGTAGCGGAGACAGCAGTTAGTCTTTTTCATTATTAATGTGCCCACAAACATGCGAGTCAGTGTGAGCACCTGCGTTACTTTTTAAAGTGCCATGAAATAAATACCGCCTCACGTGCGTGCTTTAACTGCAGAGCTTCGAGAGGAACACCTACCGAAGGCAGTGCTCGAACGATGCATCGTATACCCTTACGGAAAAGACAAATCGGGGTGCCAAGTCTGTGAGTGTTCCTTTTGGCCGTACTTACGGTTGTTTTCACAAGAGTGGTGAAAGTATATGACGTGTTGCATTTTCAGCCGATCACACTACTATTCGCGCACATGCGACCACACCGTGAATGTTCATTTTGAAAACAAACTGTATAACTGTCTTTACTTTGTTTTGAACAGAACTCTTCTGTTCATTGTGTTTATTTTTCGCTTTTGTTTCTGTGGAAAGCTTTGTTTTGTTCTGCGTTATCTCTTCACGCGTGCTTCAAATGCAAAACTTTACGTACTGACTGTTCTGCACCTATACAGTGGTTACTTTAACATCTGCTTCTCGTTTTCTCACATAAAAAATGTTGTTTTCAGTGAAACCCCGTAATCCGCAAGGTTCAAGATATTTATCGACTCCTAACTTATTGTGTTATACGTAGTTCACATTGCCAGGATGCTTTTCTTCTTCTTTTTTTGCTTTTAAACGAATGCAATAGAATACACTATGTATTCATTCGCAACAGCCAAACAATATACCAACGGGCTGTTCACACATTTTCCTTTGTTAACGCTCGTGCTACGGGAGATATTTTCTGCATGCCACAGTTTCATGTTGCAAAGACAGGGCTTCGTTTCTGTATGCTTGCGTAGTCTCCCAAAATTTTTCCTTTAACACGGCGCGCGTTGAGTAGGCGCACGTAACGACGACTGAAAACGCCGTTTTATTTCAGAAGCACACCTATAACTCGCCCTGTCGTTTTCAGTGGCTATACTCTTCACTTATGTACGACGGCAGCTCAATGCCAGCTCCATTATTTGCAAACGAGCGCTTTATGGCCACCACCATGGAACGAGCCACGTGTAAAGGAAAACGTTGTAGCTATTTTTGGCCGCCTGGGTGTAGAAATAAAGAAGCGACAAAGTATAGAACTACGTAACCATCGCTGGGACACACACAATACTGTCAGCACATGCTTCCGCCTATAATGGCCACGCAGTATATTCATGCACATCTCTGAAACAACTTCAATTGCGATGTCCAAAAGTATTATCACTACCATTATACTATCATTAATAGCAATAATTGTTAGGCTTTAGGTAGTAAATTGTTGGGCGAGTTGGTATACTCTTACGGTAAATTTGGCGCAAAATAATGACAAGAGGCGGACAAGCTCGTCTTTATTTCGCACTGAAAAGTTACCGTACATTAGGGTTTAACGTTCCGAAGCCACCGTATGATTGAGACACCGTAGTGGAGGGCTCTGGAAATTTTGACTGCCTGGGATTCTTCAACATGCACCTAAACCAATGTCCACGGGCCTCAAAGCACTTCTGCCTCCGCGGTCGGGATTACATCCCGTGACCTTTGTGATGTAGAATATTCGGTGTGTATGCAAGGTGTTTTGGATAACTTGTGCCTAAACAGATAACGATGCAAGGAGAGACGGGGAGTTTAACCAGACGCACATACAGTTTGCTACCCTGCACTGGGGAAGGAATGAAGAGAAAAGAGGTTGCAGAGAGATAAATGCTAGCCACAAGTACAGTTCTACATGCGACTCCTGCGGAGCTTAACTTGAGCTGAACAACATATTTAATAGACCTTTCGCACCTGAGTGAGGAAGGAACCCCAGCTCTTTGCGCGGCAAGCATGTGTTCTACCACACAACCACGTGTCTGCATAGACATAAAGGTAAAATAACTTCCTCTGCTGCAACCCTGCCACGGTGGTCTAGTAGCTAAGGTACTCGGCTGCTGACCCGCAGGTCGCGGGATTGAATCCCGGCTGCGGCTGCTGCATTTCCGATGGAGGCGGAAATGCTGTAGATCCGTGTACTCAGATTTGGATGCACGTTAAAGAACCCCAGGTGGTCGAAATTTCCGAAATCCTCCACTACGGCGTTTCTTATAATATGGTGGCTTTGGGACGTTACACCCCAAAATTCAATCTGCATGTAAATGCAGTGGAAATAACGTTCATACTTTACAAACATGCGCGTCTTGTATACAAGCGTCTTGTATACATCATCGGGCGTCAGAACATGCGATTATCATAGCGACTTCATGGTTTAAAGCCGGTCTTCCATTACTAAAGACACGCACATTGCTGCACGTATTTTTTTTTAAACCGCCATAGTGGGGACATAGCAAGTTCTCAATGTTACGACGTACCTAATTTTCCGTGGCTTAAAGCGTACTACCTCCATTGGACAGAATGCAGTCATATGCGATATCTTGACTGACACAAGCCACTTTCAGATTTGTTTGATTTCCTTGCAGTAATATACAAAATTTCAATCTTCTCTATGCACCAAGTCGTTGTAGTGAGCACTAGACGCACGATGCCACTATTGTATTCGCCTCTTAAAGGCGAGGCTTCAGGATCCCCAGATTCTTTAGTCTACCACTTCTTTTATTAGTTTTTTTTTGTTTTAGGTAAGCCGTTTGTCTTCTGTCTGTGCTGTGGAACTCAAAGAAGTGACCTATGGCAGAGATGCTATACACCTCCTCCCAATAGCAAGTTAAAACAGTATCATAATAAAGAGAACAGATGGGATTGCACAGACTATTCTTATTTCTCACAAAATCCATACGATTTCATTTTTGTTGATGAAAAAGACTGAGGAGCAAACATCGATGTGTTGAATCCCGAAGTAAATACCTCAAAGGAAAAGACTGGTTTTTCTAACAAGGGAAAGTGTTGCTAAATCAGTCTTCGCACCTTTTTCAGTGGTTCTTCGTAACAAGAACTACAGCAAGGGTTTGGCAGATCCCGACAGCGTAAAAAGAGTCTTCCTTTACTTCATTGAGAAGCTGTTCAATGAGCGCAAGGTACCAAAGATCACTTTACTTATGGACTGTACCGACACCGGAGTATCTAACATTGTAAGTACAACCTCACACTTGTAGCTATGCTTTAAGACGCACTGGCAGTACTTAGCATGATGGTTCCTTCGAGAGTCCTTAATTTGTCACTGAAGTTCCCCCTCTTCTGTGACCTTACAAGGAGCCGAGATAAGATATTGTTGATGGAAGACGAAGTCGTGCAAGAGAAACTCAATACGACCATATTTAGTTTAGGGAAAAGGGCGTTCTATATTGGCAGAACGGGTAGATAATTTCTCGCATACTTACGCATTTGTTTACAAATACTGTGTAACCTGATTCATGTACCAAGACTATAAAACGTTCATATCCATATATAAGCAACTTGGCCTACTTGAAGAGCTTGTTAGGCTCACACATGTTACCTCCAAAACGAATACGAACACGAAGCACTTCAGCCCGAGATCTTTCGAGAACTTGCGTAAATCGCATGTTTCAGTGAATTTATGGCACAAGCTTAAAATTCGATCTCGGATCCCATTTCTCTTCAGAGGGTCTCGCTTCCAAGTAAATAGATATCCTCTTCTGGATGTTCGTACTTGATTATTTTAAGATGTATGGCCACCGTACAGACGTAACACGGGTTTCGAACAAAGAAACCGATGCAAGGACACAACCGGTTTCACGCACCAACTTTCTTCCTTCACTTACGCTCTGTCTAAACTTATCATACTGGAAATTTCACGTGTTACAAGTTGCACATTGTGTATGTGATGGCAGAGTAATAAATATGAAAACTCAAAGGGGACAAGATACGTGAAGCTCCTGCCTAACGACATTGAGCAAGTAACATTTGTGTTTGAACCCTTTTCTTTTAGAATTTCGATTGCATCACAATGTACAAAATTGATATGTTGCGATTAAATACCCAAAATAATCGTGTGATTATGAGAAACAACGTAGTGGAGGGCTCCAGAAATTTCGACCACCTGGGTTTTTTTTAATGTGAACCCAAATCTGAGTGCATGGGCTTACAGCATTTTCACCTCCATCGTAAATGCATTGGCCGCTGCGGGAATTCAATCCCGTGACCTGCGGGTCAGCAGCAGAGTTTCTTAGCCACTGGAGAAATAAAATCAAACTTAACTTGTGCAGTCCTTGGAAATGCCCCTTCTCGTGCTCAAGATTGATACATTGGAATTCCCAAAACACATTTCGCTCAGTGTCTTCAAGTAGGTCTTCGAATATCGCATTACCACTTCGACGAGTTTAATGCTTATTGTTGTACCTTCGCACGCCTATCATGGACTTTTATACACGTTAAACCTCATGCTACGTTACATGTATACATAACAGGTGAAAACAAACGACTAAGCAGTGCACAAGGTCTCCGACCATTTCATGTTTGTGTCAGTTTTCCTATTTGTCGGTAATCATTCCAGAGCGACTGTAGTAGTTATGCCCCCTTGTAGCCCTTCTGGTCGGTACATTATTTTGTTCGTATAGAATCCAAGAAAACGACTACTAAAATCTGCCTATTATTTAATTATTTGTATTTTCCTTACAAGAAAAGGCCCTTCACCTCGTAATAAACATTAGGCAATTTCCTTCTAAGAGAACATACAGTCGCCACAAATGCACTGCTTAAGAAGAGTACCATCACCAAAAATTGTACGCCATTACGAGATGGTAGACCCAATTTTTTTTCGCATTAAGAATTTTCATTCCTTTCACCATAAATTCTCGTACAATCGGTCTGTCAATGACGACCTCATTAATTGTCTTTACAAGCTGCCATTAAAATAGGTTCGAAAATATTTTATTAAGACCATGAGACCTGGTTCAGAGTGACCACATATGGCAACTAAATAAAACCATGACTCAGCTCTGCGATGCTCCGGCACATAGTTAACTAGACTAGTTCTGAGAACTTATAAAAATACACTGTGTATAGATCTTTCACCGAATGCTTGTTGATACCAAGCTTTCCGTACCCTGCGTTCTTACTTACTTAATTCACCTTGATTTCTTTTTTTTCCGGCAGGATATTGATCTTCTCCAGTTTGTCGTGGATGTTTTCATCTCAAAGTATCCAATAGCACTCGGTAAACAGCCTTCTTTTTCATCAAACTATCCACTAAGCTCGTTTACAGAGCTCAAATGAATAAATAGCGACCTATTAGTTCCATGGTAGTGGGCTGCTTATGGCAAGAACAGAACATGCGTAACAAGCTTATAGATGCCACAGCGTACTGTTTCAGTTGCAGATGTTTCATGGTGTAAACGTAAAATAGTACTTATAATTTCAAGGCATACTTCTATTTTCCAGGCATGTCTTCCTTAATGGTTTCAATTGTCGCTATGCTTAAACCTTTATTGATCCTATTTTAGGCAGGGTTCGTTTCTAAGCTTTCTGCATCCCAACGTACCGAGAATACCGAAGAAGGTGTTCTTGTTTGTAGAATATACTTTCTCCCTTAAACGTAAACTTATTCTGCTAGGTTACGAAATAATACGAACATATATAAACTATGTAAATATGCATTTAAACGGACGAATAGCTTTTATACTACTATATCATTGAACTACATACCAACAAACCTTTTCTTAAGACATGTTACACAGGCGCGTCGAAAAAGAAGGTACGACGCTGTGCATAACAAACGTGCAAGAAACGAACTTGAGAAAAAGGGTGCCAAAAGTTGTGCAGTTGTGTACGTAACAAAAGCGTTGTTAATCATTAAGCAGCTGATAATTTGCAAATGAACTTAAGTACGTTACATATTATCAAGCGCAATCTAAAAGACATAAATATCAAGTAAAACCCGAGCCTGTGTTCACATGTAAAAAACGAGAAAACGTCAGTGCGCTAGAACACTCCGTACGAGCGATTCTGAAGTGCCTGAGAAATACTTAGGTGTTCGGCACGTTAGCAAAGTCGGTCGGCAAAGAGCGCTGTCGAACAAATAGCTTCGTGAATTGTGCCTCCGATGAAAAACTGAATAAAGTGAGCTATATACTTTGTCCCAATTTTTATTTTCGAAGAAAAAAAAAACGCGGAAGCTTAAAAGAATCTTGAACCAACGTTTTTTTCATGGTCTCTCTGAATGTGCACTGAAAATCACCTCACGTTTCGTCTTTTTTTTTTCTAGGAAATGCACTCATATACAACATGCCTTGGTTGCTTAATGGTAAGTTCATTATTGATTTACTACTTTGAAGTCTCCGGTCTCTTTTTTTTACTTTGCGTCGAACAGATTTTTTTAGAGGATCGCTTATGAAGTAATTCAGTGAGAGTATAGTTCCGCTATAGAAGGCATCTAATTACATGCGCCCGCTCAGCAGCCACCAAAACTCTCAAATGAAAAATAGCTGCAAGAGTATTTTTCTGCGTTCACTTGCAGCTTTGTTCTAGAAACGTACCTGACCATATATTTGAAAAAAAAAACTACAATAAAACTTTACACGTGCACTCCAGCTATCTCTTAAGGCTTGTTCACTGCTGGAGAAACGTGCCAGACAAAAACACAGGTGCTCTCTTTGTCACAAGAATTGGTGTAACACGAAAGCGAAATGTGTCTTCATTGAAGCCAATTTAGCGTTTATGTGCATTGTTTCGCCACAAGATAGAGGGAATGCATGTTATAGTAACAAATCGTGATGCCATGCGCACAACGACGAGCAGTTCGAAACTTGCGCCTAACAACTGCCACACCTCGACTCTTGAATCGCTCTGCTTAAATGCAAAAAGTTCACAGCATATCTACGGAGCGACTGATGAGTGGGGCGAAGCGTCTGTCTGTCTGTCTGTCAACTATACCAAAACCACTAATGTCATCTAGTGATACCATTTCCAAGGACAACTTATAAACTAGAAATTACTACTACTACGCCCCTAAAAAGGACGCACAGAACGAACACACCAGACGAGCGCGAACTATCAACTATCAGAATGCGTGTGGGCGGCGCGCTCTTTCGCAAGCGCGGCCACTGCACGCAACGAGCCAGGTGACGTTCGTGCCCTGACTTCAACGCAACCGTTCGGCGTAAGATCACGGCGTAGAAAACACCTCGATTTGGAGACCGGCGCAGGCGCACGAGTGACCAGGTCCTGCTGAGGCGCGCGCTTCGGTGTCCAGAGCGACGACATTTACAACGTGCCCTCCGGACCCTTGGCACCGCCTCGCCGGTTGAAATTGGAACACGCTCAAATAAACAAAATTTTGAGTACCACCAGCGGTGAATGGTGTAAATAAGGAACTCGCCGTTAACTAGCTCAAGAACGTACGCTGCATAAACGAGTAGGTTCGCGCCGTGCGTTGCCTCGCCAGGGGTCGTAGGTTCGACTTTCGGTGATGGAACTTTTCTTCGACTTTTTCGTTGGCGCCTTTTAACACACATATATACAGATAGATATAGATATATACACAGGGTGCTCCAACTAACGTTAGCCCGAGTTTAAAATATACTGACACACACAATGACATGACCAAATACGTGTTGCTGACCGTTGCCCAAAGTTAACCTATTTTTTGTGTTCTAAAATATTGTTTAATTCGATCTGTTTAATTAACTAACTTTTGAAGCAATGAACATGGATAAAAATTTTCATGTAGATCGGTTTGCAAAACGTCTGCTTAGACAACTTGAACTTTATGACAAGTATTAATGTTTGTTTGCTTACTATTGTTTGCTAGTGCGCTTCATGATTCTAGTGCTCACAAAAGTTCCGCGTACTAACTACCACAGCATTTTTCCCCCATTGTGCTGCCTCGGTAGGGCTGCAATGATTGTCGTGGCGTTGTGGCCGATATCAAAGCGTGTTAATCGCAAAAACGATAAGCACCGATTGTTTATCGCTGTCATGAACGGGTGCTAGGAAGTGTGTCATTCGTACGCGGAACGTTGGGAGCACTAGAATCATCGTGCGCACTGACGTGCGAGTGGGTTTGTCGCGTCGTATTTTTGTCTTTCGTGGGTATTTGTAATTAGCAAAAACACTAATACTTAACAGATATAAAGTTCAAAACTTTCTATTCAGACGTTTTGTAAACCGATCTACAACTTCCTCATTGAAATTACTCCATCTTCGTTCCTTCAAAAGTTACATATACACTTAAAAATATTTGAGAACACAAATAAAGTCTGCACGATTAACTCCAGGCAACCGTCAGAAACAGGCATTTGCTTCCGTCGTAATAGCGTGTGTCGGCATATTTTTACTCTGGCCTAAGTTAGCTGGGGCACCCTGTATATATATTGCGACGTCATATCTGTGACGAAAATACATGAGCCGTGGTGGATCCCATCATAAAACACTTTCGTGTTAAACAATGAGTACTTGCATTCTATATAACAAGTCGAAATGAGTAGCTTCTCGTCTACGTCAAGATTATCACGTAATTGTTCTCGAGGTTTACTTGAAGCAGCCTCGCTTTTTCGAAACTGACGTCGCATGGCAATGCTAAACACCGTTTCGGCTAAAGGCTCGGAATGTCGACATTGAGTGATGCTACGCAAATTGAGGAGCATTTCTAGGGATGAAAAATGCAATACTTCAAAAGGAGGAACACGAAGGTTGATTTCGCAATAGTAACCGTACTCGGCGCAGAGGTGGGTGAACGGGTAATGAAGCAGCAAGTTAACTCGGTGTTTCCCATAACACACGATTGTTACAAGCAATATTTTATTCATCGCCGTTTCCGTTACAGTTTGGTTGTTGGGGAGAAATCGATGTATATAGAAGTTCGGCTACTTCATTTTTCGATGTTCTAGTTCTACGTTTCGTGTTTTGATTTGATTTTAAAAAAAGGGCTCTTCGGCCCTGTGTTACCTCAGCTATAAGTCTTTTTACCTTTTAGCAGGTATTCTCGTAATACAACCACAAATCTGGTCTAAAAAGTTCATTGACTGTTCGAAACAGCACGTGATTTATTGGGATCTTGGTTCTCGTGTTGTAAACTGTAGTGTCCAATCATAGCATGGCAGCCTCCCAGTGAATTTTTTTATTTCATCTCCGCAGTTACCTCCAAATACCTCGGGCAATCCTAGATTGCGTCACATTAATCTCGAACGGAATAAGCAACCAAGCCAAACTATTATAGCTGGTATGCGGTCAGCTACTATTCACACCTCCCTTACGAATTTTTTACCAAGGAGTAAAGATGAATGCTGGCTGATCAAATTTCGACTGAGTCTACGTCATCACCGTGAGCTTAAATACACCCTCTGCAGGGCAAATGTTTCTCCTGATTTTTTTAATGATCCCGGTCCTGTGAAAGCTGTGGTCTCGCTATCCCCTGAGACAATCTCCCCTACCCACCTATATTCCTGCAACCTCCTGCCACGCATGCCAAAATACTTTCCTTATAAAATTACGGTATACAGAATAAGGCTAAGACACAGAAGTTCGCGGATAGCTGAACCTTTACACTAAAGCAGTGCCAACTTCAGCTATTTTTTCGGTTGGTTGGTCCACCCAAAAAGGTGGTTACTGGGAGTGCTAGTACAGCACCAGGATACTTTGTTCTGAAGGTGAGCCTATACAAAGCGTCCAAAGACAAGAAGCGGAGTGAACAAATTATCGCTTCTGATAAGTCCTTGATAACCTAGATATAATGCAATTTAAGTGAACTTTAGTTCTTTTGATGAGCATGCGAACAGAACATATTGTGTTCCTTGTTCGCTTACGATCAATTTTGGTCTGCATTTCCACAGCGCTCCTGAAAATGATTAAGGGTTGGCTCCCCTTTGGCGTCGAAAGACTCAAGACAGTCAACAAAAAGGATATACAGCAGTACATCGACGCCAAGTACCTTCCCGTGCGAATGGGTGGAGTGGTGAGAACGACGTTTTTCCCTAAAATGGAAATGATCAACTACTCATTTGATCGCGCTACGCTTGAAAATTTTTGTGAAGCGAAAATACTTTTAAACAAGCCTATCAGTAGCAAACAGTAGAGGTTTGTTCGTTGATGGAGGGACGCACTTGCATTTGATGTTTGAAGAAAAAAAATGTGACTGTCTCATTGCAGAAAAGGGTGAAAAACAAATGTGTGTTTAGAAAAAGTGGTTAACGATTTCGAATACTTAAAACTCGACTATAGGATAGCCTATGCCGTCCCATGGGCCTCACATTACTCTAATGCTGTGATTGTCACTCTCGTGATTTGCCTTCCTGATGCGGACAACTTACAAAATTAGTTAAGAAACGGGGGCTTGAAAACAGTAGCGGCTGTCGATGCAGCCCTATCTGTACATGACCACCGGGTACGTTTCGGCAGAGTAGGTTTGTATTTTTGCCGTCATTCAAATTTTAAATGTGTGCACTTAAAGATACAGCCAAGCCTAACAGTCATGCTTCTCTTTGTTTCTCACGTTCTCTGCTATGTTTAGGACACCTACGAGTACACCTACACGCCAGGAAGCCCTCTTGGAGATGGTATTCACTAGTCACAACCTCCCACCAAAGTGTGCGGTTACTGGGTCTGTGATAGCTGCGCTACGTCAGCGTGGTAGAGCTCCACCCATACTTCCGTGATGTTCCTCACGACCGTTTTTAGGACAACTTCATCAGTTCATCTACCGACGTAATGGCTTTCTTTTATCGTGTTTTCATTCAAGCCATTGTGTTTTCATTTCTGCAAGAAGAAAACCTCGTCGACAAGCGGAAGAACGTAGTTACTTTCCAGCGATTTTCTTAGAACCATAGAAGCAATAAAGAGTCATAGAAATGCGTGCTTCTTTGTAGTGCTGTATTGCGAACAGCAAGTCTATTTACGCAATTTTCATATGTGAGTATACCACTGTGAGCTAATGGCTTTCTTTTGCTACTTCAGCGCTTCAGTCATAGTAGCCCTTTGTAAGGGTATTTCACATTGAAAAGGGGCACCCGCCCACCGACCCAAGCTCCCAACCAGCTTGGGCTATTAAATGTGCTCAAAATATATCAAACAAGGCACATCTTGCAGAGTAGCCGACCTTGCTGCTGGTGACTGTCGCGCCTATTGCATAAAAGTTTTGTCGGCAAAGAAGGAAAAGATGGGGCAGAAAGGAAAGGCGGGCACGTTAAGCAGTCTAGAAGGGCTGGTATGTGTTCCTGCACAGAGGACAGTGATGGAGTTCTAACACTAAAGCACGTACGCGCACTCCCATACCTCACAGCTATGCTACCGCCATTAGCCCAACCTTTATACAGTGAAAGTCTGATGTCGCATTCAACCCCATTCACCTGTGGAGCGAGGAGGCATTACGGCACATTTTCTGCGACTGTCCTTGCTACAATGTGAAGAGACATCCACTCGCGTAGATCGCGGACCCATGACCGCAGAAACCATTAAGGAATGGCTGTAACAAAGTATTTGTCACTGGTTATGGTGCAAAAGAGACGTTTTCGCACTGTATGCGCACAGTGTATTGGCCCATCTACAAGGGCAGTAGATGCACCGAGGTGACCGAATTCAATTATACTGTCACGATGAGTCACAAGTACTCGGGGATTTATTAAACCACCGGGTAGCAATCTCTAGGACGATGCGTCAGTCGTGGCTGGCTCTCAAGCAAAGAAGCACGCGATCTTCTTTTTCCTCCATATTGAGAGCCGCTCTTGCTCTCGCCCCACTACGTGCTGGTGGCATTACCCCCCTTCCAAAAAAAAAAACAAGTCCCAAAAAGAGGAAAGAAAAGTACACAGCAGCACCACGATGCTACTACATAGGCACGTGGAAAAGAAATTGGAAAGTCGGATAAGGTTAAAGTAAAAATTGAAGAGCGTGCCAATATAAGAAACGTCAATGAACGAGAAAGCAAGTTCACACAAATAAACAAAGAACACAGACTGCTGTACGGTAAAGGAAAAGTTACGAGCAACGCGCAATAAATGGTTTCATGCGCAACACATGAACGACGTCCGGCCTCAGTCGTGTCCTGCTCCGTGCATGGGGTGTTGAGTCCGGAACCACTTCGTAGTTCACGTCACAGACATGGCGTAACACTTTATATGGGCCAAAGTGCCGGCTCAGTAACTTTTCACTAAGGCCACGGCGGCGGACGGACGTCCACACCCAAACTTGATCTCCGGGGTTGTAAAACACTTCTCTGTGGCGGGTATTATAGCGTCGTGCGTCTGCCTGCTGTTGCTGGCCAACGTGCAGTCGCGCGAGTTGCCGGGCTTCCTCAGCACGCTCTGCGAATTCTTCAGCGTCAGTTGCCAACTCGTCTTCGTCTTGACACGGTAGCTTAGAGTCTAGCATGGTCTGCACTTCGCGGCCGTAGAGAAGCCGAAATGGCGTGAATCGCGTGGTCTCATGCACGGCGGTATTACACGTGAAGGTCACCTAAGGTAAGATCCGGTCTCATGTTTTGTGCTGTACGTCGATGTACATTGAGATCATGTCTGCGAGGGTCTTATGCAGTCGCTCGGTAAGTCCGTTGGTTTGCGGGTGGTACGCAGTTGTCCTTCGGTGTCTGGTGTTGCTCAGTTTGAAAACTTCGTCCGTAAGCTGCGCCGTGAATGCCGTCCCTCTGTCCGTTATTACACTGGAAGGAGCACCATGTCGTAACACGATGTGGCGCATGAAAAATTGTGCTACCTCAGAAGCCGTGGCTCGTGGGATCGCCTGCGTCTCAGCGTAGCGTGTCAAATAGTCGGTCGTGACGATCACCCATTTGTTGCTGTCCGCAGACAAGGGAAATGGCCCGAGAATGTCCATGCCGACTTGATCGAACTGCGTGCAGGGTGCTTAGATGGGCTGAAGCAAACCGGCTGGCTTAACAGATGGTTGCTTTCGGCGCTGACATTCCCGACAGCTCTTGACGTACTTCTTAATGCTTGCTGAAAGTCCTGGCCAATAGCACCTCTCGCTCACTCTGGCAAGTGTCCTTGAGTAGCCAGATGACCGGATGTAGGTTCGTCATGGCAAGCGAAGTGGACGTCGTCTCGCATGTCTCGAGGAACCACCAGGTGGTAAGCACGGTTGTTCGAACGAGCGTTCTTCTTGTACAGCACACCGTCTCGCAGGCAGAACGACGTCAACGAGCGGGATAAATGACGTGGTATGATAGCGCCCTGGCCCTCTAAATGATCAATGATTGGACGAATCTCTGCGTCATCTCGCTGCCGTTTGCTCAAGTCTGATGCGCTAACGGCACCCAGGAAGCCTTCATCTTCCTCTGCTTCCTGACTGACGACATGAAGGGGTGCGCGTGACAGTATGTCAGCGTCTTCATGCTTACGGCCGGACTTATGGACGATGGTGACATCAAATTCCTGCAGCAGCAAGCTCCACCGTGCTAGCCGTCCTGAAGGGTCGCGCAGGCTTGCCAACCAACAGAGCGTGTGATGGTCCGTCACTATCTTGAAGGGACGACCATAAAGGTACGGGCGAAACTTGGCGATTGCCCACACGACTGCGAGGCACTCTTTCTCCGTCGTGGAATAATTCGCCTCGGCACAGGACAGAGAGCGGCTGGCGTAGGCTATGACTCTTTAGGTGTCCTCTTGACGCTGAACGAGCACTGCACCGAGCCCAATGCTACTAGCGTTGGTATGGACCTCCGTGTCAGCAGCATCATTGAAATGAGCGAGAACGGGTGCTGATTGCATGCGCTGTCGCGGCTCATCAAAAGCTGCTTGTTGCTCGTTTTCCCAGACAAACGGCGTGTCGTCCCTTGTGAGACGAGTCAGAGGTTCTGCTATCTGTGAAAAGCCATGAATGAATCGGCGATAGTAGGCGCACAAACCAAGGAAGCGCCGGACGGCTTTCTTATCGACAGGAGCTGGTAATTCGGCAACCGCGGCAAGCTTGTCCGGATCGGGACGGATTCCTTCGTCGCTAACTACATGTCCAAGAAACTTTAGTTCTTTATAGCCGAAGTGGCACTTTTGTGGCTTTAGTGTGAGGTCCGCCGATCGGATAGCCTCCAGCACACTGCGCAGGCGCTGAAGGTGCTGCTCGAACGTGGCAGAGAAGACCACCACATCGTCAAGGTAGACAAGACAAGTCTGCCACTTGAGCCCTGTGAGGACAGTGTCCATCATTCGCTGGAAAGTTGCCGGCGCTGAACACAAGTCAAAAGGGAGCACTCGAAATCGGTATAGGCCGTCTGGAGTCACGAAGGCTGTTTTCTCACGGTCTCGCTGATCTACCTCGATTTGCCAATAGCCGCTTTTGAGATCGAGAGAAGTGAAATAATGGGCACGACGAAGTCTATCCAGCGAATCGTCGATACGTGGCAGCGGATACACATCCTTTTTGGTCACGTTGTTAAGCTTTCGGTAGTCGACGCAGAAACGTAGCGACCCGTCCTTCTTTTTGACAAGTACGACTGGAGATGACCACGGGCTGTTAGATGGTTCAATAACGCAATCGCCAAGCATCTCGCTGACTTGCGTACGTATCGCTTCACGTTCTTTAGCCGACACGCGGTAGGGGTTCCGGTGTATCGGGCGTGCGTCCTCGTACGTGATGATCCTGTGTTGAGTGATAGACGTCTGGCGGATCTTTGAGCAACTTGCGAAGCAAGACCTGAACTCGAACAAGAGCGCTCGTAGCGCAGTCTGGTTATCAGTGGACAGATCAGGGTTGATGTCAATATTACTCATTGACGTGTCGGTGGTATCCACTAGTTCTGACGTGAGACAGTTGGTGACGTTTGCTACTTCGTGGGCAAACGCTATCGAAGTGCCATGGAACAGATGTCGATGCTCGTTGCTAAAGTTGGTTACGAGCAATTCAGATCAGCCATCACGAAGGTGTATTACACTTCTAGCTACACAAATGCCTTGCTGCAGGAGGTGTTCTAAATATGTCTCGGCCACCACGTCGACTAGAACACTTGCTCGTGGAGGAAGCATCACGCTCTGTTCAGAAATACGGAGTACGTCGACAGGCCTTCCGTCATCCTCCACGTTGATTGCTCGCTGGGCTGAGAACGTGACGCGGCGCTCTTGCAGATCAATGATAGCTCCATTTTCCTGTAAAAAGTCAACTCCCAGGATGACGTCATGGGAGCATTCGCGTAGAACGAGGCAGCTTGCGACGAATGTATACCCTTGGATCTGTACTCTAGTTGTGCAGGCACCCAGTGGAGTAACGACGTGGCCACCAGCTGTCCGAATCTGCGAGTTATGCCACGGCATGATGACTTTCTTCAGCTGCGTTGTCAGTTTCCCGCTCAGTATGAAATAGTCGGCGCCGGTGTCCACTAACGCCATAATTTCACAACCATCAATTGTCACTGCTATGTCGAGTGAAAGTCGGCCATCTTTTGCAGCAGTATGTGATGTCGGACCGGTTTCTGTACGGTTCTGTGTTAATAGTTGGTCTTGAGCGCTTCGACGTTCAGCGTTCCCGCCCCCGGAGGTCGCTTGGGCTAATTTTCCCGGCGGGGGCTGGGAGACCGTGTGGTAGAATACCGCTGGGGCGTTGATGAAAATCGCTTCGGTGATGGCGAGCGCGACTGGCGCCCGGCAGACGGTTATGCGTGCTGCTGGGCGAGGTAGTTTTCGATTTCGCGCGGTCTCTGGCCGTAACGGGGTGGCGGTGAGTACGCAGAGAAGCCGCGAAGCCCAGGACGGCGATATGGGCAGTGGCGGTACAAGTGATCAGCTTCTCCACAGTGAAAGCACAGAGGCCGGCGATCAGGTGTGCGCCAAACATCAGATTTCCGAGGAGACGTGCGCCGATGGTCGATGTACTGAACTGGTGGCACCGAACGATGGGTGACAGGAGCGCCAGG